TAATTTAAAACCCTAGTAATTGAGAAATTTTGACCTAAAATTCCTAAATTGAAACCAGTGACCAAACTGTAAATTGGTAAAGATTGAAGCCGTAGTTGCAAAACCCTAGAAAAAAAATATGACTTACCTTTAAATTAGCGCAATTTTATTTGATATCAACCTCTCCCCTTCTCCGTTTATAACTCTGTGCAACCCTCCCATTTTGTTTTTAAAACCCTAGCAGCAATCCCATCTCCTGTCGCCGCTCACTCTTCCATTGTCCTTCACGCTATCTGACTGGTCAGGTAAGCTTGTCGGCCATCTCCTTTAACTCTGTTCCTGCTACCGTCGACCCGAAGTCGCGTTCGCTCGAAACTAGCGAGCTTTGCTCGCGAATGTGCCGTTGTCGCGACCTGTTTTGACCGTCCGTGGCCGGAAGTGACGTGGGGAAAGTCTATCTGGTAAGAAATTCATTGCACAGACCCTCATCAGCCTTATTTTCTTTATATACTTTCCTCGTTTGGCAGCTAAAAGGCCTTGGTGGCCGGTCGTTTAAGGCCACGGTGAGCGTGGCCGTGAGTTCGCCGTCCCTTGGGGCTGCTGTCGGTACACCCTCATCGCTGGCAGTCCTACTTTTCTGTGCTGGTAGCATCTGTAATCGAGCGAAACTCCACTGCTGGTTCACCGATTCGAATTAGAAAAAATATTTCCGTCACCGTAAAAATTATTATTTAAGTTCTGAAATTCCTCATTGGAATCTGAAATTATGCATCGTGATTTTTGCAGGAAGTTCTATCCGGGAATCGAGTTACCACCTTTGTCACCGTTACCTGCTAACATCGAACTGACTTGAGCTGCTTGAATTACCTGTGAGTGTGAATTTATTATTTTAATTTGTTATCCTTATTGGGAAGTTTAAAATAATTTATTAATTGTTAAATATTATTGTAGGCACTGATTCGGATCGACCGGCTGACCGTGGAAAGTGTTATCACCGTCCTTAGCTATTTATCGAGGTGTGTCTCTATCGGTGCTACATATGTTTGATTTGTTTGTCTGTTTAGTTGGTTGTTTGATAATAACTTGAAAATATGTTTAAATATGGAATTAGTTGTGTTTATTATGATAAAGAAAGAATAAGTTATGTGATTCAAGATGTAATGTCGGAAATGTGGATTATGTGATGTGCGTGCAAATATGTGTGTCAACACTCATTTTCGTCAAGATTTTTTTATTATATATATATATATATATATTAGTTTGCAAATGATTTTTTGAAATATATATATAATATATACTTTTGAAAACGATTTTTGAAAATGTATATATTATAGATTTTTGAAATCATTTTGAAAACTTATATAATATATGGTTTTTAAAAACATTTTGAAAATATATAATATATTGTTTTTAAAACATTTTGAAAACTTATATAATATATAGTTTTAAAATATTTATAATTTTGAAAACATTTTGGAAAAATATATATAATATATAGTTTTTAAAACATTTTGAAAACATATATATAATATATAATTTTTAAAACATTTTGAAAAAATATATATATAATATATAGTTTTAAAACATTTTTAAAAATATATATAATATATAATTTTAAAATATTTTTGAAAATATATTATATTATATGGTTTTGAAAACAATTATTTTAAAAACGCTTATATGATATATAATTTTAATAATGTTTTAAAACTATATATTATATTAATATTATTTTTTATTATTTATTTAATTTTATTTATTTACTTAGTTTTCTTTGTTATTTTTTTATTTTCAGGTCCAATCCAAAGTCCAGCAAAGGCCCGGTAGGAAACTCAATCGGGTAAGCCTGACCCAGCAGACCCGATCAGGTGGGTCTGACCCAGCCCAAATTCCAAATTAGGATTTCAACATTAAGCTTTGGAAAACTTAATCATGTGATACCTCTTAATCGAATCGGACTACGGATTTTACGTCATTTTGCATGTCATGTTGGGACCTATTCTGATAGGGGAAGTTCAATACATTAACTCGATGGGGTCAGTGTTACCTATTTTTGGATTCAGTGTTAAGTTCTTAACGGAGGGGTACTAAAATGAAACAAAAATAAACTTTTAGGTATGATTTTGAAACTGAATTAAAAGTTTAGATACTAAAACCGACCAAAACTAATAGTTTAAGTATAAAATCCGTAGTTTATCCTAAAATTATATATAGGCCCTTTTTTCTAATTTTCTTTAAAAGCCTATTGTCTCGTCTTTTTCTCTTCTAACCCAAACCCTGAGGTAAATTTTTTAAACGTATTCACTCGTCTTCTTCTCTTCTCTTCTGACCCAAGCTTAACTTGAATATTGATTTCTACTTTGGGTCATAAGATTTTGATTTATATTCAATATGCATCTACATTGCTCTGCTATATTTGATTTTCTGTTTTCGGTCCTACTGGTTTACTTTGTCAAGAAGGACTGTGTATTTATAGCTCTCGATTTATCTATTTTTCTATTACACTGCTATTTGAGACAGTTATTGAAGGTATGTTTATATGTAATTCTTATGATGGATTAAGTAGACATTGAGGGCATGTTTGTTATGATGGGTGCATGTCAAGATTAAGAAGATATTGAGGGTATTTCATTAGTCATTTAAATCGTAATTACCTTTGCAAATAGTAGTGAATCTTCGATTGATAAATGAGTTGGAAAAAGAGCTCAAGGTATTAGGTGAAGACCATTGGGGATATTGAGGGTATTTGATTTTAGTATTTGTTCTTTTAAATTTTTTGTTATTCTCTTTGAAATATTATATGATTATTTTTCCTTAATTTCATAATATAATAATAGTTTAACAATCTTCCTCTCCTTGCTACGCATGCAACGGTCCTTATTTGCCTTAACAGCAGGTGCATCCCATGCTGGTGCCCATGCTCTTTGCTGCTGGTGCCCATGCTATTTGCTGCTGGTGACTATGCTTTCACCGTACCTCTCAGCAAGTTTCTCACAAGCAAACTAGAAAAGAGTAGAACAAAGTGAAACAAGTAAGAGGAAGAAAAACAGATTTTTCATTTAATGAAATCTTTTTTTAAGGATCAATTAAAGATATTTTAAAAGTATACTCTTTTGGACTTGTGCTTAAATATAATAGCACCAGATAGCACTTCAATTAAACTCATTTTGTACAAATAAGCACACCTTTTATGCCTATAGACTATGTTGACCCTCCAAAAATACATGAAAACATTATTACAAACAAGGTCACTTAATTACATACTTTTTTAATCTATTGATTATAGTTTTAATTTATGAGTATCTATAATTGTAGGATTAACAGTATTGTATAATAAATGCAACTTTGCTGGCACCCATTTGTCAGATATATAAATAGTTAGGGTAAATTACAAACAAGGTCACTTAATTACATACAAGTTATAGATATATCACTCAATTAAAATATTATTACAAATAAGTCAGCTCATCGTTAAATATTAGATAGAATAGTGACATATAATAATAATTAATACTTCAAATTTATATATTTTATTAATTTAGTCCTATTATAAAATAATACAATATATTTAACCTTTCATATTAAAAATCTTATGATTTTAGTATTTGTTCTTCTTTTAAATTGTTTGTTATTCTCTTTGAAATATTATATGATTATTTTTTCCTTAATTTCATAATATAATAATAGTTTAACAATCTTCCTCTCCTTGCTACGCATGCAGCGGTCCTTATATGCCTTAACAGCAGGTGCATCCCATGCTGGTGCCCATGCTCTTTGCTGTTGGTGACCATGCTTTCACTGTACCTGTCAACAAGTTTCTCACAAGCAAATTAGAAAAGAGTAGAACAAAGAGAAACAAGAGGAAGAAAAAAAGATTTTTCATTTAATGAATTTTTTTTAAGGATCAATTAAAGATATTTTAAAAGTATACTCTTTTGGACTTGTGCTTAAATATAATAGCACCAGATAGCACTTCAATTAAACTAATTTTGTACAAATAAGCACACCTTTTATGCCTATAGACTATGTTGACCCTCCAAAAATACATGAAAACACTTTTTTTATAATGCATCTATGTCATACCATAAATATAAGTTGTATGTGCCTCTGTTAAGTGTACCTAGCGAGTCTCGTTTGCTGAAAATCAACAGAGCAATGCACAAACAGAGGCAGAAATCAAATATCCTCTATGGTCTTCTTCACCTAATACATTGAGCTCTTTCTCCAACTCATTTATCAATCGAAGATTCACTACTATTTCCAAAGGTAATTACGATTTAAATGACTAATGAAATACCCTCAATATCTTATTAATCTTGACATGCACCCATCATAACAAACATGCCCTCAATATCTTCTTAATCTATCATAAGAATTACATATAAACATACCTTCAATAACGGTCTCAAATAGCAGTGTAATAGAAAAATAGATAAATCGAGAGCTTTAAATACACAGTCCTTCTCGACAAAGTAAACCAGTAGGACCGAAAATAGAAAATCAAATATAGCAGAACAATGTAGATGCATATTGAATATAAATCAAAATCTTATGACCCAAAGTAGAAATCAATATCCAGGTTAAGCTTGGGTCAGAAGAGGAGAAGAAGACGAGTGAATAGGTTTAAAAAATTTACCTTAGGGTTTGGGTCAGAAGAAAAAAAGACGAAACAATAGGTTTTTAAAGAAAATTAGAAAAAAGGGCCCATATATAATTTTAGGATAAACTACGGATTTAGTACCTAAACTATTAGTTTTGGTTGATTTTAGTATCTAAACTTTTAATTCAGTTTCAAAATCATATCTAAAAGATTGATTTTTGCCCAAGTTGCAACTTGCAACTTGCAAGGTGAATTACCTAATGAAGCAGAAGACAAACACTTGGAAGTTGGAACAAAGCATAGGAACAAAGCATAGGAACATCAAACCCAAGAATCCCAAAGGAACATTAACAAGGTTTTTCGAATCAACTCGAAGAAACAATAAAAAAGCGAGATTTGCTCAAGAAGCAACCAATAGAAACTAAATAATCCAAATCCAGCTAAAATTTTGATATATCATCTTCTTTTGTGGTTCTATCGATCCCTGAAATAGATGTTTGAAATCAAGAAGGCGTGGATCAATCTTTGCCGGGGCATTATACCTTAGCCCCAAAACATAAGTCTCAGCTGATTCTGGGCGACTAGCATGTGGTTTCCAAACTTTAACCTCCTCAAACAGCTGCAGACCAAACCAAACACGCGTGTCAAAGGAAAAAAACAAAACTTCACAAAGAGATATATCCTATGGTTTTGTTTATCACCTGCTTGAGACAATATAGAACGGAACTGTAATCTTGGGACCTAAAAACCTTGGTGACAAAGGTGCCTTTAGGGGCCAAAAACTGGGTAGCCAGCTTAACAGAATCAATAACCAAAGTATTTTGGCTCATTTTTTCTTGAGCCCAAGCACCACCAACATTAGGGGATCCATCATGCAAAACGACATCAAAAGCCATAACCCTGTGCTCTTCCATGACTCGTTTAACCTTGGACTTGCAAACGGATTTGGTTATGTCTTGTTGGAGAGCGATGGCACCTCGTATAGGAGCAATGGGAACAAGATCAAGACCGAGTACAAGGCTGTCGATGGGTGTATGTTGCACGGCCACTTGCATCCAACCACCGGGAGCAGCACAAAGGTCGAGGACAGCATGCGCTGATTTTAGAAATCTAAAATTGTCATCCAGTTGTACTAACTTCCATGATGCTCTGGAACGGTAGCCGTGTTCTTTGGCTAACTTATAGTAGATATCTAATCTATGCTTCCCTTTCACTTTACCCATATTACCTCTTCAATTGAATCCAAATTAAACGCCAAACAGCTGGTGGAGAAGAAGGAAAAGGGAAATATGGAACGTTAAAATGAGTTTTTTTTTAATTCTCCCAAACACAAAGACTTAATCCCTAAACCAAAAATAACTAAACCTATAGCTTTTCAAAATAATATATATCTTCTCAAAAAAGCAAAATAAACAAAGGGAGACAGAGTAACAAACAGAATCATCAAAAAATAGAAAATCAACAAAGCAATGCACAAACAGAGGCAGAAATCAAATATCCTCCATGGTCTTCTTCACCTAATACATTGAGCTCTTTCTCCAACTCATTTATCAACCGAAGATTCACTACTATTTCCAAAGGTAATTACGATTTAAATGACTAATGAAATACCCTCAATATCTTATTAATCTTGACATGCACCCATCATAACAAACATGCCCTCAATATCTTCTTAATCCATCATAAGAATTACATATAAACATACCTTCAATAACGGTCTCAAATAGCAGTGTAATAGAAAAATAGATAAATCGAGAGCTTTAAATACACAGTCCTTCTCGACAAAGTAAACCAGTAGAACCGAAAATAGAAAATCAAATATAGCAGAGCAATGTAGATGCATATTGAATATAAATCAAAATCTTATGACCCAAAGTAGAAATCAATATCCAGGTTAAGCTTGGGTCAGAAGAGGAGAAGAAGACGAGTGAATAGGTTTAAAAAATTTACCTTAGGGTTTGGGTCAGAAGAAAAAAAGACGAAACAATAGGTTTTTAAAGAAAATTAGAAAAAAGGACCTATATATAATTTTAGGATAAACTACGGATTTAATACCTAAACTATTAGTTTTGGTCGATTTTAGTATCTAAACTTTCAATTCAGTTTCAAAATCATACCTAAAAGATTGATTTTTCCCCAAGTTGCAACTTGCAAGGTGAATTACCTAATGAAGCAGAAGACAAACACTTGGAAGTTGGAACAAAGCATAGGAACATCAAACCCAAGAATCCCAAAGGAGCATTAACAAGGTTTTTCGAATCAACTCGAAGAAACAATAAAAAAGCGAGATTTGCTCAAGAAGCAACCAATAGAAACTAAATAATCCAAATCCATAGGCATGTTGGAGAGAACCAAAAAAGAGCTAAACTTTACCATTCCAATAACCCAAGAGAAGTAAGGGCGGCAGCTTTTGGAGATTGGATTCAAAAGAAGATGATATATCAAAAATTCCAAAATTTGAAGTAATTAGTACAAATTACGAAATAAAATAAGAAAAATTAACCTAATCTTCTCACATCCAAGATGATTGAAACCTATGGATCGTATTAGATCTAAGCATCGACAAATCCTTCAAACAGAAACAGTTATATACAGTTTAAATAAGTGAAAAGCGGATTGATGATAAATCACTGGACTGCAATGATAAACAAAAATATTAAATAAAAAAAGGAAAAGGATTTACCCAGAGGATCGGAGAATATGATGCGAAAGACTTCGTTTCCCTTCTGTTCTGCTACTGAGAATTCACTTCGGGACAGCAGCCGATATTTATTTTGCACTTCACCGTTTTGACCTCACGTATTTTTAGTAAATTCATCGTTTTGCCCTCAATATTATTTTCAAATTACGGGAAGGTCCCCAAATAATATACTCCTACAATTTAAGTGTAGTTCAAGTCTTTCACAAGTGAAATTTTGTTAAATGAGATAAACTTTACTTTTTAGTCCTTGTGTTTGGTAATTTTTATAATATAATCTTTAAATGTGTTTATATACGTTAGCTTTTTAATCAAACTTTAAACTCAAAAACTAATATTAAAACAAGATCAAACCTCTAATTTTAAGCTTAATTGATCAAGTTCAAAGAATGTTATATTTTTCATATTTAAATATTAAATATATAATTAATGCTCGTACCATCCTAGTTTAAGATTTGCACTATAGAATTATTAGACAGTGAAATTCCAACATCGGTCATTTGTATTATACGTAAAGTTATATATTTAATTCCCATACTTTTATTTAGTCAAAATTAACCTCTAGACTTTTAAATTTTAAAATTTTAGTCAAGACTCAAATGACACGAAAAATTAAATTACAACTCCTAAAAATAACCAAATTAAAGTAAAAAAAATTAAACAACTTACATATAGTTTAGAGACTAATAACGAATTAAAATTTTGGTTTTATTATAATTTCATTTTGGCCTAATTCAAACGTAAAACAAACCACCCCAACTCCGAACTTGACCTAAACTCGAAATGATATGAATACGTAATGATCATACCTTGAAAACACGAACCTCAACCCTAAATGACCTAAACTCAACAATTCTAAATTGAAATTGACCCGAATCAAAATGACCCCAAAATATAAAACCCGAATTAACCAAAAACTAGATTGGCCTAACCCGCCCAAGCCCAAGCACATTTGACGTATAATTCCACTGATGAGAAACCACTCATTTCAAAGCAAAACCTCTCCTATTGTTATATAAGCTATTGTCAGCTATTCTTGCCATGCATTTTAAATCAATATGAATATAATCCTCCATATCTATTTATTTGAAGTTAGGATGAAGATAAAATGCTATACAAAATTTGCATGCTTTATGCTTACAAGGAGACTTTCTAATCATCAATGCCTTCGAGTCGCTTGATGATTGCTTACCATTGTTTCTTTCCTTTATTCTTTCTCTTGTTTCCGTTATCGCTACCTCCGTCACCGCCCATATTGCTACCGCCAGTCTTCAAACCACTTCCAGGTTTGGCAACTGGGCTCTCTGCAGAGGTGCTACCTATAAAATCGTCAAACATGCCTGCTTGTACTGCGTTCTGTAACCACTCTACGAATAAACAAAAAATCAAATATAGAAGAGAAATGCTCAAACAGAGGCATAAATCAAATATCCTCCATGGTCTTCACCTAATACCTTGAGCTCTTTCTCCAACTCATTTATCAACCGAAGATTCACTACTATTTCCAAAGGTAATTACGATTTAAATGACTAATGAAAATCAAATATAGCAGATCAATGTAGATGCATATTGAATATAAATCAAAATCTTATGACCCAAAGTAGAAATCAATATTCAGGTTAAGCTTGGGTCAGAAGAGGAGAAGAAGACGAGTGAATAGGTTTAAAAAAATTACCTTAGGTTTGGGTCAGAAGAGAAAACGACGAGACAATAGGTTTTTAAAGAAAATTTGAAAAAAATGCCTATATATAATTTTAGGATAAACTACGGATTTAGTACCTAAACTATTAGTTTTAGTCAATTTAAGTATCTAAACTTTCAATTTAGTTTCAAAATCATACCTAAAAGTTTTATTTTTGTTTCATTTTAGTACCCTCCGTTAAAAAGTTTTGGTACCAAAACTTTCAAATCAGTCGGATTATCATACTTTTATAATCCAAATTTTATGTTTTTCTTTCTTATTTTATTTCACAACTTCTAAATTTTTTTACTCCACAAAATGCTTCTTTTATCTCATAATTTTAATGATAAAACTGAACTACTTCAATATTTAAACGTTATTATGCTTCATTTAAAATCTATATGATTATAAATTTCACTTATAAATTCGATGAAATTTTGTCAATATTTATCTCAATTTAAAATTTAGAAAGTTCAATAACACAATATTTTAATTGATGTCAGTATGAACATAGAACCAAACAAATTGATTCAAGAGTTCACCGATCGAAAAAATATAAACGCGTGAATAGTTGAAAACCATGAATGAAACACCAAAAAAGATGATGAAGCATCAAAATGAAGGGCATATATACCAGTTTTGTAGTTAGGAATAGTTGAAAACCCTTGGAGAGGAGGGGAGGCGAGATGATGGGATCGTAGCCTAGAAAATGGAAAAGATGAAAGGTAGATGAAAATGAAGTATTCAAATTCGTTTATTTGCAAACCTTTGGAGAGGAGGGGAAGCATCAAACGCGTGAAAGGCTAGGGTTTTTGTGATCTCCTAAAAGTTTTGGTCTAATTAATATATGAGCCCTTGTATTCTCACGTATTTTCATATGTTGTCCCTTGTTTTCCTTTCTTTCAATTTGGTCACTAAATGTTTCTTTACTATTTTTGATCGTGGCTCACTGTTTTGTTTTAGTACAATTTAGTCATCATTTTATGCTATTATGTTTTATTTGATAATATATTTTTGTTGTTATATTTTATTTGAAAATGCCATTTAATTATATATATATATATTATGAGAAAAAATAAATTTTTTGAACATTTTGTTTTTTATAATAATAATTATATTTTATCATTATAATTAAATATGTGGCTGCAAACATAATTTTTTACAAAAAAACTTAAATTTTTTATTAATTTAAAAAAATGAAAAAAATTTGTGATTCTTTTTCTATAACAATAACTATTACATATAGTTACAAAACTTGTCACTATATAACATTTTTGCACCAAAAAATAGGGAGAAATATTTCTAATAGTATAAGTTTTCATAATGATTAAAATATACAATACAAAAATAATTAATTACAAAAAACTTAAATTTTATTAATTACAATATATTTTGTTACTATATAACTTTTTTGACACTAAAAATAGAGAGAAATGGTTCTGATAGTATAATTTTTTTATAATGATTAAAATATATAAGTATAAAAATAATTAATTACAAAAAAACTTGAATTTTATTATTTGATGTGATAATTTTTTCCTATAACAATAACAATAAATTATAATTATAAAAATTGTCAATATAACTTTTGAAACAAAAAAGTGGAGAAAAATAATTATGACAATATATGCTATCACTATAACTAAAATTTACAACTACAAATATAATTTGTCACAAAAACGTGAATATCATAATTTTGTGGTAATATGTTTTTATAATAATTATTAACAGTTATTTTTGTGGCTTTATTTGGGGATCCCCTCCTCGACTAATCCCATCACTCTAGTTAAATGGGAAGACCTCTGTCAACCTCTCCATACAGGCGGTCAGGGCCTTCGTCGAATAAATTTTCAGAACATTGCTATCCTCTTCAAAATTTGCAATGATCTCATTCTCTCCCCCTCGGTTTTCTGGATCTTCCTCATGCGAGAGAAATATAAGATCTCTGAACTATGTCCATTTTTGATCTACCGTTCCACTTGTTCTAATCCGTGGCGTAGTTTGGCAAACGTATAGCGTTCTTTCTACACCAATTTGGCTTGGTCAGTGGGTGACGGGCGCTCTATTAATTTTTGAACTGATAATTGGGTTCCCCCGATTGGCTCACTCCTCAACGTTGCAATGACTAACTTTTCGATGGATGTTTCCTTAACTGTTTCTGATGTGTCTTCAGATGGTTGCTGGGATTGGGATCTTTTGAACACTCTCTTGGACCCGATAGCTATTCATCATATGAGAAATATTATTGCTCCATCTTTTGCGGTTGGTTAGGATATTGTTTATTGGTCGGTTTCACCAAAGAGGATTTTCACTGTTTCAAGCCCTTATAAATCCTTATGCTCCTCTTCCTGGGCCGCTACGAATCCTTGTTAGTATGTAATTTGGAATGAATTAGGAGTTTTCTATGGCTCGCCATCAGAAATAGAGTGCTCACCAACTCTAACCGATACCGACGAGGTCTGGGAAATGATTCATCTTGCTATTTGTGTCGAGTCGAGAATGAAACTTTGCACCATATCCTTCGAGATTGCATCACAGCTCGGAGCAATTGGACGAGACTCCTCCAAGCTCACCCCTTTCCCTCTTTCTTTGATTTCGATCGTGAAGCTTGGCTTATGGAAAATATTAGTTATTCTTCCCGCTGTGTCGCATCCAATGGCCCTTGGTGCATTTTTTTCGCCTCCTTGGTCTGGCAGATTTGGAAGGCTCGAAATCTTCTCATTTTTCAAGATATCTCTCCTTGTCCGGAAGCTATACTTCAAGTCAGCATATCCTGGAGCAAACTTTACGATGATTGTGCACCCATTCGGAGTTCACACAGACTGCAAACCTCTTCACATGTTCAATGGTGCCCGCTGGATTTGGGGTGGGTCGCTCTTAATAATGATGGGGTTGTGTCACCCCAAATTGGTTCAAGTTCGATTAGGGTTCGATGACCTTCCCTCAAATGCAACTGTCGAAGTCGGATGTATTGGATCCCATTCAAAAAATAAAAAAGAAAAAGAAAAAGAAAAAAAGAATAATAATATGTGGTCCCATATCCTTTCATGTGAACCTTCATTTATTTTCACTTTAATTTTGGTATGATGTATAATAGTTATTACTATTATTATTTATATTTAAAAATAATAATATCCTTTAATTAAATACTGAATTAATTGTGTCATATGTCCCCAAAATATTATTCTTATTTTAAATTGGTTCCTAAACTTTTAAATATTTTAATCCATCCTTAAACTATGACTCCAATCTAAATTAGTCCTTAAACTTTTGAATATTTTAATTTCATTACTACACTATGACCCCCTTTTTAAATTAGTCCCTAAACTTTTGAATTGTAACCACCTCAGACCGATGCGGGTAACCCGATCCGATCTGGAGTGTCACATTAGGGTCACCGGAGCGACCCACTGTAAAAATAGCGGAAAATTTAAAACTTTTATTAAACATGTAACTTATAAAATCATTTATCAGTATTCAGAAATAAAAGCAGATTTTCAGACTCGTATATAAAACAAAATACAATTACATGCCCCCTAATCACATGTACCGTACTCTGCAAACAACGCCGGGAGAACTCCCTTACTGAAGTTGATAGATGCACTGGTACAATTCTTTTAACCTGAAAAGGTGAGTAATAGAGTGAGCTTTGGAAAGCTCAGTAATACAGAACTACCAGATGATGCTGAAGAACGTGCAGATACAGATAAACATATGTTTTCTTATTGGTTCAGATATCTACAGATTTTTTTAGGCTGAGCTGAGGTCCCATTGATATTTCGGGTAGTAACAGATAGTATTCAATTCAGATGGAAAGATTTCGGATATCTAGGTTCAGGAGATCAAGATAGGTTATCTAGTGTGTTCCCGCAAAACCAATAAAAATATACAGTTCTTTTAAAACATATTTATATATATATATATATACCCCCATCCGTCACGAACAAAATGTGTAGGTTCCCCAGAACCATACAACCCCGTCACGAATAGTAAGGTCATGAGCACACAGCCGAGGAACCGGTAAGTAAGGCCCTGAGCACACAGCCGAGGAACCTCCAAGTAATCTTCCTCCAACAATACCCCCAATAAAACATGTTCCGTCCGTAAACGGATATATCAAAAATCAAAACATAATTCAAGTCAAGTATCATATCAGAATCCATGTCAATATCAGATCAGAATCCAGGTCAGGTATCATAACAGAATTCAAATTTGAAATCAGATAAAATATTCATGTAATTAGGGAACACACCAGAGTTTACAGGTATTATTTAGAGGTACTATATCAGGCAGAGAAACACAGTTCATCAGTATGTCGATAGAATGTTGGAATTTAAAATCACTATTGGAAGAGTTCATTAACTGACAGAATCATCAGTTATTCATAATGTGAATTATCAGGATATTATCTTATTCGGACAGTTTTCAGAAGTTGTACGTAATCAGAAGGGTATTCAAAATCCTTTACATCCATGTCAATTGATCGGATAATCGAACAACTTGAGAACGAAGATTCAGAACCTTAACAATCTATGCCGACTGGTCAATTCATTTTCCTTCTAGGGTATTTTCTCTTTAATACCACAATTTCTTGTTCGTAGACCAATTTCGGAATCATCGCTGAATAAATCTTCCAATGTCTTTATTTCATTTCCACGCTTCCACAATATCATGAAATGCTGACATACTTGATTAATTTGTTCATAACCCATTGTAATTGTACACTACGTAAACTCATCAGAGTTTCCAGACTTATCCAAATCACTTATTAAATCCTCAGTCATTGAGGTTACCTAGTTCATTTAGCAGTCATATCCATTCCAGTTACTTCAGGATTTTTCAGAGTAATTCAAACGTTCCTGAATTTCAGATACATGTTGTACTTCCATTCCATTCAATTTGGTCTTCTTGGTTGATTTGTCGAACAAACATCCAATTCTTAGTACTGAATACGATCAAGAGTTGAGCTGAATACTTCTAAAATTTATCATCGAGCCAAACTTGAGAAGACGAATACGCATTCAAGTAATATCTATGTCATTCAGGTATTGACATAGCTTTAGGGTTGATCTATTCACTTAAATTGTGTTCCATTACTTTTAAAGGTAATCCAATACCTATGCTTATTTGGATTCCTTAATTAATCCAAGACATTTACTTAGTATAGGCCATAAGGGTATTTTGGTCATTTTGGCATTTAGTTTTATTCCATTCATTACAGAGCTCGAGGATAACCAATCATTCATGAGCTTGGTGATATTTTTGGGTCATTTCTATTACAAGGGTATTCTGGTCATTTTACAGATCCATTGTAGTCCAATAACTCATTCCGTCCGATCTTATTATTAAATTCAAACTTATCATATATGTCAGTCCCATCAAACTATTCTGACGGATCCGATGTATTCCAATCCTTTCCATCCATCTGATCTTATTATTTGATTCAAACGTATCATCTTTTCCAGACATTTTGAATAGTTCTGACAAAAGAACACCCCCGATAAATTGTTCTTTAGGTATTTACTCATAACCCGGATATTTTCAGGTCAAGTGCCTTCTCAGATTTTTACCAACGGAATATCAGGAATTTTTCTGCACTAAGTCAGGATCTTAACAATCAGATCCGTACTTAATCGAGTTAAGTACTAATCCTCAATGTACTTTCTCATTCAAGGTCAACTCAAATTATTTTACCTCTCAAGGGCATTTTCGTAATTTCTTAACCAGATAGTTTCGGTATTAACTCTTAATAGAAATAATATAATTTAGAGATCCTATGGTTAATTGCTTCCTCGAACATTCTCTGATCTTGAAATGATTCCTTAACAGACTTCTAGTATCTTGCATAAACCCTCTTGGGGTTAAAAACCGGTTATTCACATTTCCTATGCAAAACTAACATTTCTTATGCACATCAGTAATTTTTACCATATCAATATGTCCTTTCAGAGTTATTAACCAACTTCCAGGGACAATTCTTGTCATCTTACAACATAAGGGTAATTTTGTAATTTTACCCAACTAGAGTATTCTCATAATTTCTCATCCAAGTACCTTTAATATTTAACCTTTGTTGATATAAAATATAAACTATAAATCCAAGGCTGATTTCTTTATCACTAATCACAAAACTTGTAATTTAATTCTAACAATCCCTCAATCTCTTATATTAGTTATTCGATCTGTATTCAGTTACCGAATTTCTACCACATTCATATCGAGTGTATAAATTAACCAACTCCACAAAAGTGACCAACATTATCTTATTCATGCATTTACCAATATCAACATGTTTCGTAAAGCATAAAGAGGTAGTAAAATATTACCTCGATTTCTGTGCCATACTGATCGACCATTAAATTCCCATTCGAGTGTCCTTGATCTTGAAATCAACTTTCAATATTTTCCTCACGATCCAGGCCATCAAAATTACTAACTCGTATCCAAATAATTTCCCTTTCCATAAAGATAGCTTATTAAAATTTAAATTAAAAATCGAGGGACCTAATTGACAAAATTAGAATTTATGGGGTCAATTTAATACTTAGCTACCAAATTTAGTGACCAAAATAATCTTATTAAAATCATTAAGCAATATTCATAACCATATGGTAACTAGAAGGCAAAGTTAAGTACTCACCAACTTTGGAGGACTTATGCTACGATTTACCCTTCATCCTTTATCACCATTTCCTAAACTCACGTGCTCTCTAACATTCCTACCTTTCTCACTTTCTTTTATTCTATCATGCATTTTTTATCCTTAACATAATGCTCCGAAGTAAAGCAAGAAAACTTCACCGGTCCAATAGAAATCAAATGCCGGTGACTAACGTGTTGGCCACCTCTCCGACCGTCGTTCGAAACACAAATACACTTCCTGAAGCACCTTATCTCCCTCATCAAGAATATAACCTTTGTTTAGTTTGAAACTTTATAGATGGTTGTAGATCTACCAAAAACCCTTCAATTTTCTCTAAACAAAAGGCTTTTGTTCGCTGCTAGCAACCATTCGATGGTGCCAAGACCGAGAAATGTTGTTCCTCTGGTGGCCGAAAACAAAGCTTGGTTGTTGGTGCTTTTGAGTACTGGTTTCGTCCCCCCCCCCAATGGAGAATATGATTTCTTCCATCTATAGTTATAAAATAATTTTAGTAGTTTAATATAGCATAATACCCTCAACTAGTTAACAAAGGCATGCTCCGTTATTGCATAACACGTTTCAATCCCACTAAGCACTTGTTTATTATATTATTATTTTTCAATTATGGGTTGCCACTATCCTTATTTTATTCCTATTCCACCCAACACTTTGTCCACATTATACCTAAGTAAACCATGTGAATATTAATTAACTAAAGATTGGGGTGTTACAATTCTCCCCTCCTTAAAAGAATTTTGTACTCGAAATTCATTCTTGTCACAAAATTGCATAAATAAAACTTCCATAAGTTCTTTCATATCTTCGAGTAACTTTTACAAAAGTACGTGTCCTCTACTAATCCTTAACGAGTTGAGTATACATTCTCATCAGAACTTTTCCTCATTTCAATAAAAGAATTCGAACGAAAATTTCCTTGCGGAATCAATTCAGTCTCGGTTACGAGAATAGGCTCATAGAGTAGTAGCGTATCCCAATTTCATGTTCGGAGTTGGATCGAAATTTTCTCAGATTAGTAACTTTCACATGGCTCGTGAGGTACTTCACAAAATTCAGATAAAAGTTACTAGTATTCCTTTATGGATAAAAACTTCGGTTTACTTATTACAGATAGGGACTCAACCCTGGAGTTCCAGCTCAGAGAGGTACGATTGCAGTTTAGGGGCATGTATTGATCAGACATATTTTGACATTCGACTAGCCGGTCTAACTTGAAAATTTTTGACTCAAACCATAGCTCTGATACCACTAAATGTAACCACCTCAGACCGATGCGGGTAACCCGATCCAATCTGGAGTGTCACATTAAGGCCACCGGAGCGACCCACTGTAAAAATAGCGAAAAATTTAAAACTTTTATTAAACATGTAACTTATAAAATCATTTATCAGTATTCAGAAATAAAAGCATATTTTCAGACTCGTATATAAAACAAAATACAATTACATGCCCCCTAATCACATGTACCGTACTCTGCAAACAACGCCGGAAGAACTCCCTTACTGAAGTTGATAGATGCACTGGTACAATTCTTTTAACCTGAAAAGGTGAGTAATAGAGTGAGCTTTGGAAAGCTCAATAATACAGAACTACCAGATGATGCTGAAGAACGTGCAGATACAGATAAACATATGTTTTCTTATTGGTTCAGATATCTACAGATTTTTTTAGGCTGAGCTGAGGTCCCATTGATATTTCGGGTAGTAACAGATAGTATTCAATTTAGATGGAAAGATTTCGGATATCTAGGTTCAGGAGATCAAGATAGGTTATCTAGTGTATTCCCGCAAAACCAATAAAAAGATACAGTTCTTTTAAAACATATATATATATATATATATATACCCCCATCCGTCACGAATAAAATGTGTAGGTTCCCCAGAACCGTACAACCCCGTCACGAACAGTAAGGTCCAGAGCACACAGCCGAGGAACCGGTAAGTAAGGCCCTGAGCACACAGCCGAGGAACCTCCAAGTAATCTTCCTCCAACAATACCCCCAATAAAACATGTTCCGTCCGTAAACGGATATATCAAAAATCAAAACATAATTCAAGTCAAGTATCATATCAGAATCCATGTCAATATCAGATCAGAATCCAGGTCAGGTATCATAACAGAATTCAAATTTGAAATCAGATAAAATATTCATGTAATTAGGGAACACACCAGAGTTTACATGTATTATTTAGAGGTATTGTATCAGGCAGAGAAACACAGTTCTTCAGTATGTCGATAGAATGTTGGAATTTAGAATCACTATTGGAAGAGTTCATTAACTGACAGAATCATCAGTTATTCAGAATGTGAATTATCAGGATATTATCTTATTCAGACAGTTTTCAGAAGTTGTATGTAATCAGAAGAGTATTCAAAATCCTTTACATCCATGTCAATTGATCGGATAATCGAACAACTTGAGAACGAAGATTCAGAACCTTAACAATCTATGTCGACTGGTCAATTCATTTTCCTTCTAGGGTATTTACTCTTTAATACCACAATTTCTTGTTCGTAGACCAATTTCGGAATCATCGCTGAATAAATCTTCTAATGTCTTTATTTCATTTCCACGCTTCCACAATATCATGAAATGCTGACATACTTGATTAATTTGTTCATAACCCATTGTAATTGTACACTACGTAAACTCATCAGAGTTTCCAGACTTATCCAAATCACTTATTAAATCCTCAGTCATTGAGGTTACCTAGTTCATTTAGCAGTCATGTCCATTCCAGTTACTTCAGGATTTTTCAGAGTAATTCAAACGTTCCTGAATTTCAGATACATGTTGTACTTCCATTCCATTCAATTTGGTCTTCGTGGTTGATTTTTCGAAGAAACATCCAATTCTTAGTACTGAATACGATCAAGAGCTGAGCTGAATACTTCTAAAATTTATCATCGAGCCAAACTTGAGAAGACGAATACGCATTCAAGTAATATCTATGTCATTCAGGTATTGACATAGCTTTAGGGTTGATCTATTCACTTAAATTGTGTTCCATTACTTTTAAAGGTAATCCAATACCTATACTTATTTGGATTCCTTAATTAATCCAAGGCATTTACTTAGTATAGGCCATAAGGGTATTTTGGTCATTTTGGCATTTAGTTTTATTCCATTCATTACAGAGCTCGAGGATAACCAATCATTCATGAGCTTGGTGATATTCTTGGGTCATTTCTATTACAAGGGTATTCTGGTCATTTTACAGATCCATTGTAGTCCAATAACTCATTCCGTCCGATCTTATTATTAAATTCAAACTTATCATATATGTCAGTCCCATCAAACTATTCTGACGGATCCGATGTATTCCAATCCTTTCCATCCATCTGATCTTATTATTTGATTCAAACGTATCATATTTTCCAGTCATTTTGAATAGTTCTGACAAAAGAACACGCCCGATAAATTGTTCTTTAGGTATTTACTCATAACCCAGATATTTTCAGGTGAAGTGTCTTCTCAGATTTTTACCAACGGAATATCAGGAATTTTTCTGCACTAAGTCAGGATCTTAACAATCAGATCCGTACTTAATCGAGTTAAGTACTAATCCTCAATGTACTTTCTCATTCAAGGTCAACTCGAACTATTTTACCTCTCAAGGGCATTTTCGTAATTTCTTAACCAGATAGTTTCGGTATTAACTCTTAATAGAAATAATATAATTTAGAGATTCTATGGTTAATTGCTTCCTCGAACATTCTCTAATCCTGAAATGATTCCTTAACATACTTCTAGTATCTTGCATAAACCCTCTTGGGGTTAAAAACCGGTTATTCGCATTTCCTATGCAAAACTAACATTTCTTATGCACATCAGTAATTTTTACCATATCAATATGTCTTTTCAAAGTTATTAACCAACTTCCAGGGACAATTCTTGTCATCTTACAACATAAGGGTAATTTCGTAATTTTACCCCATTAGAGTATTCTCATAATTTCTCATCCAAGTACCTTTAATATTTAACCTTTGTTGATATAAAATATAAACTATAAATCCAAGGCTGATTTCTTTATCACTAATCACAAAACTTGTAATTTAATTCTAACAATCCCTCAATCTCTTATATTAGTTATTCGATCTGTATTCAGTTACCGAATTTCTACCACATTCATATCGAGTGTATAAATTAACCAACTCCACAAAAGTGACCAACATTATCTTATTAATGCATTTACCAATATCAACATGTTTCATAAAGCATAAAGAGGTAGTAAAATATTACCTCGATTTCTGTGCCATACTGATCGACCATTAAATTCCCATTCGAGTGTCCTTGATCTTGAAATCAACTTTCAATATTTTCCTCACGATCCAGGCCATCAAAATTTCTAACTCGTATCCAAATAATTTCCCTTTCCATAAAGATAGCTTATTAAAATTTAAATTAAAAATCGAGGGACCTAATTGACAAAATTAGAGTTTATGGGGTCAATTTAATACTTAGCTACCAAATTTAGTGACCAAAATAATCTTATTAAAATCATTAAGCAATATTCATAACCATATGGTAACTAGAAGGCAAAGTTAAGTACTCACCAACTTTGGAGGACTTATGCTACGATTTACCCTTCATCCTTTATCACCATTTCCTAAACTCACGTGCTCTCTAACATTCCTACCTTTCTCACTTTCTTTTATTCTATCATGCATTTTTTATCCTTAACATAATGCTCCGAAGTAAAGCAAGAAAACTTCACCGGTCCAATAGAAATCAAACGCCGGTGACTAACGTGTTGGCCACCTCTCCGACCGTCGTTCGAAACACAAATACACTTCCTGAAGCACCTTATCTTCCTCATCAAGAATATAACCTTCGTTTAGTTTGAAACTTTATAGATGGTTGTAGATCTACCAAAAACCCTTCAATTTTCTCTAAACAAAAGGCTTTTGTTCGCTGCTAGCAACCATTCGATGGTGCCAAGACCGAGAAATGTTGTTCCTCTGGTGGCCGAAAACAAAGCTTGTTTGTTGGTGCTTTTGAGTACTGGTTTCGTCCCCCCCAATGGAGAATATGATTTCTTCCATCTATAGTTATAAAATAATTTTAATAGTTTAATATAGCATAATACCCTCCACTAGTTAACAAAGGCATGCTCCGTTATTGCATAACACGTTTCAATCCCACTAAGCACTTGTTTATTATATTTTTTTTTTCAATTATGGGTTGCCACTATCCTTATTTTATTCCTATTCCACCCAACACTTTGTCCACATTATAACTAAGTAAACCATGTGAATATTAATTAACTAAAGATTGGGGTGTTACATGAATATTCAAATTTCATCCCTAAATCCATACATATATGTGATTATTTTCAACCACAATTTAATCTAAATTTTTTAACATATAATAATATAACTTGGCCTAACGATTTTACTAACAAAGGACATGATTAGTGTATATATATAATTTTAGATGAAATTGGAATGTTCAAAAAGTTTGGGGACCAATTTAGAATGAAGGTCATAGTTTGGGATGAAAATGAAATGTTTAAAAATTTAAGAACTAATTTCAAATGATAATCATAATTTAGAGGTGAAATTAAAACATTTAAAAATTTAGAGATTAATTTAAAATAAGAATCATGCTTTGAAGACATATGATGCAATTAATTCTTTTTCAATCTATTGATTATAGTTTTAATTTATGAGTATCTATAATTGTAGGATTAACAGTATTGTATAATAAATGCAACTTTGCTGGCACCCATTTGTCAGATATATAAAAAGTTAGGGTAAATTACATACAAGGTCACTTAATTACATACAAATTATAGATATATCACTCAATTAAAATATTATTACAAATAAGCCAGCTCATCGTTAAATATTAGATAGAATAGTGACATATAATAATAATTAATACTTCAAATTTATATATTTTATTAATTTAGTCCTATTATAAAATAATAAAATATATTTAACCTTTCATATTAAAAATCTTATGATTTTAGTATTTGTTCTTTTAAATTGTTTGTTATTCTCTTTGAAATATTATATGATTATTTTTTCCTTAATTTCATAATATAATAATATTTTAACAATCTTCATCTCCTTGCTACGCATGCAACGGTCCTTATCTGCCTTAACAGTAGGTGCATCCCATGCTGGTGCCCATGCTCTTTGCTGTTGGTGACCATGCTTTCACCGTACCTGTCAGCAAGTTTCTCACAAGCAAATTAGAAAAGAGTAGAACAAAGAGAAACAAGAGGAAGTAAAAAAGATTTTTCATTTAATGAATTTTTTTTAAGGAACAATTAAAGATATTTTAAAAGTATACTCTTTTGGACTTGTGCTTAAATATAATAGCACCAGATAACACTTCAATTAAACTCATTTTGTACAAATAAGCACACCTTTTATGCCTATAGACTATGTTGACCCTCCAAAAATACATGAAAACACTTTTTTTTTATAATGCACCTATGTCATACCATAAATCCGTATCTGACACTTGTGTCAAATCTAAGTCTAAGCCTAGAGAAACTTGTAGTGATTACATATTATAATTTGTTTCCAAATCTAACAATATTCAGGACTCCAAATTATGAAAAGAAATGATGGTTTGCAACTTCTCAGATTCAATGCTAGTGTACCTAAGTTGTCTTTTGTTTTACCCGCTTTATTACCATATTTGTTATCCTTTACTTCCATCTAGATTACAGCCTAACAACTTATAACAACACTCTTCTCATTGCAAAATTCATATGCGCATTACAGTCGACGAGGCTCTATGCCACCCTTACTTGGCACCTTTTCACGACATCAACGTGGAGCCTGTTTGCCCAAGGCCATTCAGTTTTGATTTCGAGCAACCATCTTGTCGTAACCGGTTTTCGTCCGGGCACGAATTTATTTGTTTGGCGGGAAAATTGATGTTAATAAATGGTTTTGAAAATAATTTGGGAGTCGCCATCGGCCTTTTGGGTCAGGTAGGTCGAATACCTAAAAAATATCTTTTAAAAGAGTTTTTAAGAAAACATCAATTAAAAGATAAACTGATCTGCGTTTTAACCAAGAATTCGTTCTTTTTAATAATAAAAGGGATTCGTAGTCGGTTACGTTTAGGGAAGGATTAGCACCCCTACAACGCCCAAAATTGGTACTTTTTTTTTAATTATAAATTGTCTCTATTATTAAAATTTTAAAAATTTTAAAATATATTTAATTTTTAATCTTATTATTTCAAAAATATATTTATTTATTTAAAAATATCAGAAAAGAACTTCTAGGTGCCTTAAGACAGCTCTTTTCTTTGATATTGATAAATATTAATTTAAATAATATTGTTTAATTTTTAATTTTAAAATATCAGAATAGGACATCCAGTTGTATTAAGACTGTCCTTTTCTTCGATATTAAAAATAAATATTTAAAAGTTATTATTTATTATATATATTTATGAATATATATAAAATATTTAACAATATAATAAAAGAAAAATTCTACTAAAACAATATTTTTTAAAAATAATAAAATAAATTAAAACATATAAAATAAATGACTAAATTATAGTAAAAATAAAATTAAAAATCTAATTCATAATTAATCAAAACTATAGGGATTAAATATGTTATTATTTTTTTATTTTATTTAGTGACTAAAATAAAACTATCTAAAATTCAGATATTAGAATAAGATAAATTAAAAATATGAACCAGGGATTAAAATATTATTTATTAAAAATAAGGGACTAAATCTGTTATTTATCCTAAATATATTATTTTAATAAAAAAGACTAAAATGAATAAAATTAAAATTCAAATACTGAATTAAAATTATCATAAATTCAGTTTAATGACAAAAATATAAAATTTACAAGTTGGGAGGACTACGGACGGGATTTAACTATTTTATATTTACGCGCATAGTCCTTCCCGAAACGACGTCGTTCGGGAATGACTATATATGGTCCAAACCGGCTGGCCCGAAGGGCCAGCCATTTCATTTCTTTTCTTCCTTCTCTCTCTCTTATCTGAGAGAGAGAAGTTTCTCTCGCTTCTCTCTAAAATAGAGAGAAGCCCAGCCGGCCGGCAGCCGTTAGCCGGCGTTCATCCGCCGTCAACCGCCGCCGCCGGCCACCGTCTTTGGTGGCCGGAAATTTTTTTTTTTTACCCTAAATGTAGATCGGACCGTCCTAATGACGGTTCCGATGTTTTTTTTCGTTAAACGGCTCCCAATCGGAGCAGATCTAAAATAATACCTTCGGCTTTTCGAAATTTTTGGTGAGATCCGGCGACGGTTGTGGTTCTCCGTTGACAGGGTAAGCTTCTTTCCTCTCTTTTCTTTTTTTTCCTTGCTGCGTTGATGTTGACTGAGATCGTTGGTATATTGTTTTTTTTCTCTGTTTTTTTTTTCTCTGTCTCTGTCTCTAGTTTCTGTCTCTCTCCGGTTTTTTCTTGCAGATGGGGTGGTGGCTTTTATAGCCACCACCGTTGTAGCCGTCGGACCGGTCCGAAGAAGGGCTCTCGGTGAGTCACCGGACTACCAGTGGTGACTCACCGAGTAGCCATGGCGTGGACGGCTGGTATTCTGTCTTCTGGAGTCTTCGGTTGGGACGTGGCAGCGGCGGAGGCGGCGAGATAGCAACGGCGGCCGCGTGTCCCTAGGGTATCAGACCCTAGGGTTTCCATCTGGGACAATCTGGTCCGTTGGATCTTGCCAGATCCAACGGCTGTGAGCTGAGGCGGCTGGGTAAATTAGGGTTAGGAAACCCTAACTGGAAACCCAAATATTTAGGGTTTCTGGTTGGATTTGGACCGGCTCTGGTTGGTTTGTAACTGGGCCGGTCCAGTTGTAATTGGGCCTGTAATTATATATTTTTATTTATTTATTTTTTTTTAATAATATTTATATGTATTTAATATATTTAATAATAATAGTAATAATAATAATAATAATATAATAATAATAATAGTAATAATAATAATAATAATGATAATAGTAATAATAATAATAATAATAATAATAATATTAATAATAATAATATGGATAAAAAAAAATTAGTATCTTCAGCTGCCCCTCTTTGCTCATTCTTGTGTTAACAAGAATAGGGCAAAGATGAAAAGATAATAAAATTTTTTATCCATTTGACTTTACTTTGATCATAATGGAGATATTGAATAAATTCTTCTCTCTCTCCAAATAAGTTCTTCTTATTATGAACTTTCTGCTGGGGATAATGATGACCTCCTTTCTGTGATAGAGTCATTCAAAAGGTTGAATAAGCTCTTGATGAGTTCTTCTCATTATGAACTTTCTCTAGAAAGGCTGATGTTAATCTATCTCCTTCTGTGATAGAATTATGCCAAAAGTTGAACAAGTTCTTCTTATTATGAACTTCTTCTTTCTTCTTCAGATGAGTTCTTCTCATTATGAACTTCTCCGGAAAAGATAATCCATCAATTGATGGATTCAGGTAAAAGGTTGAACAAATTCTTCTCATTATGAACTTCTTCTTCCTTCTTCAGATGAGTTCTTCTCATTATGAACTTTCTCTGGAAAAGCTGATCCATTAAATGATGGATTCATATAAAAGGTTGAACAAATTCTTCTCATTATGAACTTCTTCTTCCTTCTTCAGATGAGTTCTTCTCATTATGAACTCGAACTGGAAAAGATGATCCACCAAATGATGGATTCAGGTAAAAGGTTGAACAAATTCTTCTCATTATGAACTTATTCTTCCTTCTTCAGATGAGTTCTTCTCATTATGAACTCGAAAAGCTGATCCTTCAAATGATAAATTTGAATCTTTGCTAAAATTTTTGAAATTCCTGTTAGAAATTCAACAAAAATGAATGAAAATGCATCTATTTTTGCAAATGCCTAAATATGATGCATGAATATTAAGTTGTTTGATTTCATACGGGTGAATTGAGTATTTCTTCAATTGTAAAAACCCAATATATTTGTCTTCTTCAAATCAAAGAATCTATCATCTTTGACAAATGTAGATGTAGATATAATGTCACAAAACCTCTTGAGAATAAAACTCAATAGTATAAACTCTTGAAAAGCTTGCATTCTGGCAACATGTTGATTCTGATAACAACTTATCTGATTATGAAGTGACCTTTCAAGATGATTTCACAGATATCGATAGTTCTTCTAATACCGAGAAATCTTGACTTCTGATTCTGATGAAGAGATAAACTGTTATACTTGACAAAAATGTGATTCTCAGAAGTTGAAACTTCAAATAGCTTTCTTCCGGTAAAAGGTGGGAAGCCATTATGTGATGATCCCAGTTACAAGCAAAGGCGAAACTTGTGCTATGATTTTTGGGAAAGGAATAAGCAAAAGAAACTTGAAAAGAAACTTCTTAATGAAGAAGATCATGCAGTTCATCTTTTAATTCTAATGATTGGTTCTGTAGTTCTTACCAAAACAGATCAAATAACTCAAAGAACACTTCCAGAAGATGTTATTAACAAATTCATCTTCCAAATTCAATGATTGATTCTGTCCAACCAGATCAGATAACTCAAAGAAAACTTCCAGAAGATGCTATTAGCAAATTCATCTTCCAAATTCAATGATTGGTTCTGCCAAACCAGATCAGATAACTCAAAGAACACTTCCAGAAGATGCTATTAACAAATTCATCTTCTAAATTCAATGATTGGTTCTGTCCAACCAGATCAGATAACTCAAAGAACACTTCCAGAAGATGCTATTAGCAAATTCATCTTCCAAATTCAATGATTGGTTCTGTCCAACCAGATCAGATAACTCAAAGAACACTTCCAGAAGATGCTATTAGCAAATTCATCTTCCAAATTCAATGATTGGTTCTGTCCAACCAGATCAGATAACTCAAAGAACACTTCCAGAAGATGCTATTAACAAATTCATCTTCTAAATTCAATGATTGATTCTGTCCAACCAGATCAGATAACTCAAAGAACACTTCCAGAAGATGCTATGAGCAAATTCATCTTTCAGTTAATGTTTGGACTAGGATATCACAATACTTATTTGATGTAGAGCCAGAATTTGTAGATTCGAAGTATTTCCATACTACTACACTGAAAAGGGTTATATTCATAATTTTACCAATTAAGAACAGATTTTCTCTTATTTTGCTTCCTCCATGTGCTGATGCTTTTCCATTGACAAAGAAATGATGGCCTTCCTTCGAGTGTCCAGAAGTATGTTCTTGATGAGTGCTGAAAATGGAATCTAGTAGAGGTTGGAAGGAATAAAGTTACTCCACTTGAACCTGATGAGGTGGAAATGTTTCTAGGTTTCCTTTAAAAAAACATACACAAGGATCTGTATAGAGACATGTTTTCCAGTGATATCAATGTCTTGTTTCTTTTTGCCGGAATCAATGCTACAAAAGGTTGCTTTCTATTGCCTTAGTATATCTTTGAAAACAGATGTGTAAGAACTGAATGATGATCAGTTGGAGCAATTGATGAGTAGATTTGGCGGATTCGACCTTGTTGTCGGTAGCACCACTTGTAACAATCTTGATATTCATGGCTTTAAGCTAGTGATGATTTGCTTACTTTGTATTCCATGTTTTTTTTTTTAAATATTAACATAAAGTGATATTCAGAAATCTTTAAATTATTTCAAAATTATGTTAATTCAATAGAAAAGAATAAATTGAATTTCCAAAAATAAATTGAATCTCAAATAAATTGAACTTGAAATAGATATAATTGTATTCAAAGTTATGGCAAGCATAAGAATAAAAATTCAAATGTCTCAACAAATTATAAGCATAAGTATTTCTAAATTAATCAAGTTGACACAATTTAGAGTAATGATGTAAGCTTTTGTCTGGAAGATCTCAAACGTTGTCAAAA